ATTCATGGAAATCTTGCACGTTCTGTGAGCGGGATTGTATCGTTCATAGTCAAAAAATCTCCAGATCTGCTGTCCAACATGGGCATCGTCCGGTATATCATACTTCTTCTTTCCACACTATGGACCACGTTCATTTACAGCAATCGAATTGTGTTTGGCTTTACAGTGATTTGTCAAGAGCCTGAAAATAGAACCGCAAGTGGTAAGAAATGTTTACGCATTTTCGCTTAATGCCTAGTTTTTTCACGTAATGATTTGCAAAGATTTTGAGTTTGCTAGCCTTCCCATAAATTCATAAACACATTTGCCACTAAAATTTACGAAACAATAAAAAGCGAATTTTGTTAGGTTAGATTGCATCAAATGCGGAAAAACGATTTATTGCGACATCTCGCAGTTCTTCTTCAGTACATGTTTCTTTGGAAACTGCAAGTCCTCAAAAATGAAGTGCAGAGTCTGAATTTTGTTCCAGAATCAGAAGAAACAGTACGGTCTTCAGATTACTATCTTGCTGATCCCGTTGCAAAAGCATGGATGTTCACGGCAATGGCTGTTGGCATGTGTTTTGGACCAATACCTTTGTATTGGGCCTACAAACTTGACACAAGGTGTAAGCTTGTTGCAATTCGTAGTTAAAGCAAATTCAACAAAATGCACATGTCATTTGAAGATTTGGAATGGACTATCTTTTTTTTCAACAGGGCAGCACACCTTCGGGGTTTGCTTAAGCTGATTAATCTTCTCTGATTAATCTAATCTTAATCTGATTAATTATTTTTTGCTTGAAAATTTTTAGACAAGCATATACATGGCTCGTCAATCTTGCAACAATATCCGCTGTTAACAAAAACAATAAACAACATTTATTTCAGGGAAAGGAGCTGACTAAGGCTACTCACAGGCATAAATTTTCCATCCTTACTTTGATGTAAAACCCTGCCAGAATAGGCCGTACCAGCCAATTTTCGCGTTATTCTACGAGAAGCATTCAACAGTCCTGCGAACAGGATAAAAATTTCCATGGCTTATCCCGCAAATGGATTTTCACATGAAACTTCAATTATATCCGTTGAGTACTCGTCCGGACCTAATCACATAGTATTATGTCATTTTTCTTCGTCTTTTTCATTTACATCAGTCACAGTGTTGGTGTAATTTGCATATCTAAATTCAAAAAAATATTGTTAAGTTTCTAATTTTTTAGAACCGTCGAAAGTGCAGCGAAATTTGGATGCACTAGCCATAGGGCGGAATCATTTCCATAATAAACAGATAGCGGTCGACTGTAAAGTACCGACGTAGTCTCATACTTTGTCTCATGTCATGATTCAGAGTATATGACCTGACTTCGTTACACACTTATACTTCAGTAGCAGATTAAAAGAGGGCTTATGGATTACGCTTGGATTTGCGCAACCTCATTCTAATGCCGTCAAGCACTTCAGAAACAAATAATAATTGCCGCAGTTATGGCCTTGTAGCATTTTGAAGACAAAAATAATGCTTCCAAATTTTAGAAAGAATTCATTTAGATAAATAATTAAGATCTCAAAAATTAGCAATCTTGCAGGTATTTGTTGACGCATTTAGCAATGCCATCATTTACAGAGTCGCCATTTTTGCGTATGGACTTATTTCGACATTGGCCACTCTTTTATATCCACTTGCCGACTCTTTGGGCCTTTGGCCCTCAATGATTTCTCGCTTCTTTACGGTTTGTGAGTTTTTATCCTAAGCATCGGTGTAGAAGTCTTTTTTAGGGTTTCGCTCAAGCTAGTCAACTGCATTTTAGCAATGAGGTAGTATTGACATGGGCTCCACAATCGGAAAAATCGTTATTCTTTTCTATACTACTCGCTGCTTCACAGGTAACTCCTATTCAAATGCTAAACATCTCCTCAAATTTGATGGTCATGTCAAGACTCTGAATAAATGTAACTGATATCTAACAATTTTAGTTTGGACCACTTTTCACTATGATACTCGGCGGCGAAATGTGCAGTTCGTCTCTTGGATGGGAAGTCAGTCACAAGCTTTTCTGACTGTTTGTCGAGCAAAATAATGGAAATGTCAACATGTTTTTTTCAGGCAACCTACTATGTACTTGGAGCTCTTACACTTGCATCAACGGCAGCATTCATATTTCTTTATACGCAAGATGTGGAAAGCAACAGGCATGATTTTTTTTCGGAATCAAAATAGCTGGTATGTCACACCATGGGCAAGCATTCGGATGCTTGCCTATATGGTAAAATGAAAATAATGGAAAGTTCTGCAGATGCGCATTAGTCCTAGCGGGTTTGTGGATTTGCACACGCATTTGAGCTCGTACTAATTTTCACCGCCTCATAGCTGGGTCACTATACAACATGCCAAATCACTATACAACATGCCAAACAACTCGAAGCTCTCAAGTCACTAACAAGTAAAGCTGGGCAAATGTTTCGGAATTGGCAAACGCGTTTTCTGGTCTCCATGCAACTCCTGTATTTCAGCTCCTGTGTAAAATAATTTCCTAGCAGTAAAATCGCTTGAAGTAGACAATCTTGTGAAAGTCCACGTTTAAAATGATACTGTATCTCTCAGGGAAACTGTAAGGATTATCAAAACCTCAAATTCTTTAGCCACCCATAAGTTATAGAAATATCAAAGTATGTTTGCATTCTGGACGTAGCAGCAATAGTCTAACAATACCAGTCTACTACTTCTCAGATTATTAGGAATTAGCTAGACCGAATCAAACTCTCAATTCATCGAAGCGTATCTGCCCCTGTATAGCAGTGCAAGCTCCTTGAATCTAAAGAAAAGATTGTTAGCACTTACTCAAAAGTTTGGATGTATATGGCTTACGATTTTATTAAGCTCGTAGTCTGCCGAGTTGAGTCTCGCACAGTTGAAAAACAGTCACTAAGA